GTAGCTCTTTGCATAATATGTCTGATAATTTGAGCCAGGTTATTGTGCCTTGAGTGAGAACTGTGGATTTATTTGATGAACAACTTGCTTGTTTTCTTGGCTATCCATTGTATTTCTAGGAATCTTCCCCAACATCAATTTTCAAAAGTGTCACTACTCTTACTAAACTGCTTTGCCAACTTTTGCTTCCATAGTGTCACATGAGTACCACTGCTTGCACGATTCTGATCTTTAAGTATAGACATATAATAGTATTGGAATGTTTTCCAATGTCAAAGAATTAGATCTATCTATCTATCTATCTATCTATCTATCTATCTATCTATCTATCTATCTATCTATACATACACACACACACACTATATTAAGTATCTGCTTAATTCAAACAATTGGACTAACAAAGCAATGCAACAATGGTTAATCATAATTTAGAAGGGATTACTAAGGCCATAAATGCATGCTCAATATAAGAACCTAAATTAAAATACCCCAGAAGGCTATTTACTTTTTACTTTAACACATTCAACAAAATTTATTTATTTATTTATTTTATTCGGCTTATATGCCGCCCTATCTCACAATGGACTCAGGGCGGCTCACAACAATAAAACACAAGTCACAATAAAAATAAAGACTAAAATCTAAAAAATTTAAAATTAACCCATTAAAACCCTTAAAACCCCGTCATCAGACCAGGTCAAGGGATTTGAAAAGCCAAGTTTTTAATTCCCGGCGGAAGGTGCGAAGGTCAGGCGCTAGTAGTTGGAGCTCCAAGGGGAGTTGATTCCAGAGGGTGGGCGCCCCAACCAAGAAGGCTCTACCCCTGGGGGCCGCCAGCCGCCACTGTCTAGCAGACGGCACCCTGAGTAGGCCCTCTCTATGGGCGCGAACCGGGCGATGGGATGTTGTTGCTGGCTGTAGGTGGTCTGCCAAATATCCTGGTCCTAAGCCATGTAGGGCTTTATAGGTCAACACCAGCACCTTGAATCTCACCCGGAGGGCAACCGGTAGCCAATGCAAACCGCGCAGGAGGGGTGTAACATGGGAGTATCGGGATTCTCCCATCACAACCCGCGCGGCTGCATTCTGCACCAGCTGAAGCCTCCGAGTGGTCCTCAAGGGCAGCCCCATGTAGACAGCATTGCAGTAGTCAATCCGTGAAGTGACTGGATATACTTCACCCGTCTCCAAATATTTTTTCTCTCTCTCAAATCATTGTTGCTCTGTCAGGAATTTTCTTTTAACATTCCAGAAGAACTTGACCCCATTTCTTCACACCTGCAGATAAAGGAAAGAGCAAATTGTGACTTTCTGTATGATGTTTTTCAGGTATTTTAAGAATGCCACCATATCTCATCCCCACACCCACCCATTCAATCTTCTTCAGAGAACATCTCAGTTCCTTCAATTTTTCTTTATAGTAGCAGTTCCCAACCTTTTGGGCACCAGGGACTGGTTACATGAAAAACAATTTTTCCAGACTGGGAGGTGGGCATGGTTTTGCATGCTACCTTGATCTCGCACATGCAGATGAAGCATCGCTCCCTTGTGCAGACCAGGGTGAAATCCAGCAGGTTCTGACAGGTTCAGGAGAACCAGTAGCGGAAATTTTGAGCAGTTCGAAGAACTGGTAATGGAAATTTTGAGTAGATTGGAGAACTGGCAAATACCACCTCTGGCTAGCCCCAGAGTGGGTTGGGAATGGAGATTTTGCAATACCCTTCCCCCAGGAGTCGGGAGAAATTGGGATTTTGCAGTAACATTCTCCTGGAGTGGGGAGGGAATGGAGATTTTGCAGTATCCTTCCCCTGGAATAGAGATTTTGCAGTATCCTTCCCCTGCCACGCCCACCAACCCACGCCCACAGAACTGGTAGTAAAAAAATTTGGATTTCACCACTGGTGCAGACCGACCAGTTCCTAAATGGGCTGTGTACAGTATTCAAGGATTCTCACCATGCTGATTTAATGATTTCTCTTCAATAGTATTATGTTTGCAAATATACTGATATTATGTATGAAAACACAGTTGGACTGAGGCACCTTGGAAGAGAGAATGGAGAGGACTCTAAAAAGATGACTGTGAAGGAACAGAAGATTATTAGCAGCAGGAAGATATAACTAGTGTCATTACAATTTTCATGAAAAACATATTTAATTGGAAACTACATGTCTCGAGCATATTTAATAGCATGTTTTGTTATCAAGCAGTATGGGATTGTAAACTCCTGTTTCTTTCCTACTGGGAGATATTGGAATTTACAGTTCTATCTCACTCAGGAAACAACTGAAGGATAATCTTAAAAATATTTTAAATAAACAATCCACTAGTTTTTCACACAATCTTAAGCCTGCAGTCCTCTATACATCTACTTGGGAGTAAATACCTATGAAATAAGTGAGTTATTTGTATTAAATACCAGCTGTAATTTAAGTGGGGAGGGGCTTTCACGATCGTTCAAAACATTGCACAATACCAGTTTTCCAGGCCATTTATTTTAGCCCCTTCGTTTGTAGAAAAGCCTGGTTAAGTGTACAATAACTATAGATTTGGATTAAATGATACTCTCCAATCTTTCATTATTTTTCATTAATGCTTTTTCAATTACAAACGTATCTTCAAACAGTTAGTGATTCCATCCCCCCTTGCAGAATAAAAAAAGTAATAGTACCTTAGAGACCCATCTCCCCCTTTTTTTGCCTCAAACACCTGCAAAACAGCAGTTGTTCATGGAGTGGACTCTGTGATTATCTCCTCTTTCAGATTCAATCGAGCTAACATATTAAATCATGATTAAATAATCCAATTCTTCAGTCAACCTAATCTTGTGCATTTCTCAGAAATAAATCCCACTGATGCACAATGAGGCGTACGGGGAAGAAAGTGTATACACGAATAGATCGCTTGCCATTTTTCACCCCGACACCCCAAATAGGCAGTTTGCTTTTTTCTGCCTGAAAGAGTTTTCTATTTCAGGCAGAAAAAAAAAAAAGCAAACTGCCCCCTTTTTTTAAAGAAAACAAGCACACATGTCGATTACTTTAGTGTAAATATACAAAATACATTCGCGGGCAGGCAAATGTAATCGAAGACTGCGACGCTTATAAATACTATACATAAATCCACTGCAACGTTCTCTACACCTTCTTGGAAGGAAACCTATCAAAATCAAACAGCCCTTCCAAGGCAAAGGAAGTCTCTTCTTTTGCTCCACACTCGGCGAGAAAAGATGGGAATCAGCGTCTTTCGCCTGTCGCTAAACGGATCTACTCAGAAGTAAAGCCCACTGGAGCCCTTCGAGGTCAGCGTCGCTTTGCAGGATTGCAGTCTTCAGCAGCTCCTTTTGCTCCGCGCTTTTGCAGAGACGGGATTTGTCCAAAGGAGCTGCTGCAGGCCAATTGCCGCCCAGTCAAAACGATCCCTGCCGGGACGACGCCTGCTGGTGGATCTCACCGAGAAGAGACCCTGCAAGTGTCTCTCTCCCTTGCCTGGACGAAGCTTCTCCGTTTTCCCCTCTCCAAGGTTGAAATCCGACCCTGACCCACCCATGCAAACCAGGGTCCTAGTTCGGGATCCTTTGCCTTAGCCCCGATTATAGGTCGGGGTAAATGTCTATGCAAAAACAAGAAATTTGTTCTTGTGACTGGTTGTTTTTTCCCCCTCATTTGGAAAGAATGATCTTCACGTGCAATGTAGTTTTATTTAACAAAAAAGCCCCTTTTCTAGCAAAAATTCCTCCCCCTTTACCCCCAGTATTGCCCGGGTCGGAATTTTGCTTCAGCATGATTCCTTTCCTCGGTAGGCAGAAGGGCGCGTCCCTTTCGTGCATTGAATGAAGAAGGCGATGGCCGGATTATTAAAAATTATAATTTGAAGACCGACAACCACCCGCAAGGCGCCACCTTGGGGAAGGTTGAGGTTATTGAGTACTGTTTCTATACTGGAGAAGGTCTCGATTAAAAAGAAATTTCCCTTTTTTCCCATTTTTTCTGGGCAGGCTAACTCTGCTGCCAAATATTTCTTGTTGATCTATCTGTATGTAGCGCTGAAGGGAGATGGAAACGGGATCCTCACGCCCGTTTCTACTTCCCTACTTAAATTTACGCATAGGTAGCCTGTGATTAAAAAGATCAGAGAGAAGCTGTGGGTGTTGTGTGGCAGAGGAAGGAAAGGAGGGTCTGCCTTTAGTGGAGAAAAACATAGAACTTTTCCATTGTATGTGTTTTGCCACACAGCTTGGGCATTAGCAGGGTGTCAAATTCTCTCGGGTTGTGGAGCTCAGGAGGATTGAATTTATACTTTTTTGTCGTCTGATAATCATAGTCACATAATCATTCTCATCGTTCTCACCTCTCATCTTCCACTTATGACTGTATGACTGTAATATTGTTGCTTGTATCCTTATGATTTATATTGATATTATTTCCTGATTGCTATTTGTACCTTGAGTGTATCATTGAGTGTTGTAGTTTATGATTCTTGATGAACTATCTTTTCTTTTATGTACACTAAGAGCATATGCACCAAGACACATTCCTTGTGTGTCCAATCACACTTGGCCAATAAAAAAATTCTATCATCCTATCATAGGTATTTTCATAAGAATCAAATGAATTATTATTATTATTAGATTTGAGAAGCCGATGGGTGCTGTTCTGAATGGACTTTTAGGATGGCTTGTGTTTACTATGCTGTCCCCCAGTGAATGGAACGCCGGCTTTGCCAACCCTAATTTTAATATTGTAACTTTTAATGCTCCTTGTTTTGAAAGGTATTTTTTTAAACATTTGGTTGGTTGGTTGGTTGGTTGGTTGGTTGGTTGGTTGGTTTAAAATTGCTGTTTTATGATGTTGGAAGCTGCTCCGAGTGGCTTGATAGGGAGATGGGTGGCGTATTAATGTAATAAAAAAAATAATATTGAGTGATCCCTCTTTTTTAATTGGTTTGCCTCCAGAAATTGTGGGTGCTCCATCACTGGAGGCTTTTTTTTTTTTTTTAAAGAAGAGATTGGATAGCCATTTGTCTGGAATAGTGTAGGGTCTCCTGCTTGAGCAGGGGAATGGATTAGAAGATCTCCAAAATCTCTTCTAACTCTGTTATTCTGTATTCTGATTAGGAAGAAAAAATGGCATAACCTGGAAAGGCAGCTGGCTGACCAGGTTCTGAATTGGGTTACTCATCTAGCAGCCAAGAGTGGCCAGGAATCTGTGAAACTGGTTTAAACAATTTCCCTAATAGCTCCCAAGAGACTCTTCCTTACTGCTGTTTTTTTTTTTGTTTTTTGTTTTTACCTCAGCACAATTACCTCAGCAATGTGGTGAGTTTGCTCTCTGAGTCCCACAGAGAGAGAATAGCAATATTGAAAAAGGAGAGCAGTAGCTAACAAGCTTTCTTTTCATGCTTGAGCAGCCAGCTGGTCCTTTTGCATATAGGTAGTCCTCGTTTAGTGACCATAATTGAGACTAGCAACTCATTTTTTAACTGAAGTGGTTGTGAAGTGAAACTGCAACTTTGTGTTTATGATCTTGCTTCAGCTTTCCTTTTGCTTTACAGATCTGTGAAGGTTGTAAACATGTGGATTAATCACAAAGTTAGTTTTTTAATCTGCTAATGGTCACTCTATTAGGCAGTCCCCTAGTGAGGACTTCTTTTATTAGACATAGACTGGGAAATGGTAAAAGGAAGCCAAGCTGAGCCTGTCTCCTTTTCTGGAAGAAATAGCCTCTTCAGTATTTCCACATAGGACAGATAATAAAATAACCTGAAAGGTTGGCTCAGGTTACCCGTAACTTCCATTTTTACAGAAATGTCCTGGGAATGATTCTGGTGAATATTGCACAGCATTAAAATACAGCAACACAACAGACCCTGAACAGTTTACGGAGCAGGATAATGGCTCCTTTTTAGTGCCAAGCTATCAGAACAACAACTCGTATAGGAAAGATGTCCTTGACATTTTAAGCATGTTCTAGTGGTAAGCTTTTTCTTTTTGGCTCGAGGGTTATCCTTCCAGTCCATCTTTTATTACTTTTTTTTCTCATTGGAATTTCATGATTCTCTTGTGGAGTTTAGCCTCCCAGCAATTTTAAGGACCTCCATCTTTTTACAGGTCAAAAACAGTTTTCACCCTTTTATAATTCAAAAATAGAATCCAAGTCAGGAACTTGGAGAATTCCAAAAGTTTAGAGACCTTTTTTAGATCTAAAGGAAATGAATGTTGCTCTATAAAACACCCAAAACAAAAACACCTGGAAACAGCCTTTTTATCTCTTGATATGTGTTGATAAAGAATATTAAGGCGGTGTCACTTAACTTTATCAATTTCAATATGTGGGGATTTCAACTGGAGTTGATGTCCACACAACTTAAAAGTTGCTGAAGTTAAGAAACACTGTATTAGAGTATCAGATCCTCTGGGACTGGTTCCAGATTTGAGGGCCTTGAAAATGAATTGGAATTTTCCTTGTGTATCTGGCACTAAACAACCTAGGATTAAACATCCAGATATGTTTGTTTTGTGATGGTTGTTGGGCTGTTAAGATTTAAAATGGTAGCTAATCACAACTATTCCTAGGGCCTGGGTGTTTTTTTTTAAAATTGGGCCTACCACTCAAGCAACTGCATTAAGTCTTGAGATCTCAGCACCAGTCTATGGATATATAATGACACTGTTTTGAGGAACACAGCATGTCACTAGATAAAATAAATGTCTTAAGCCTGAATTTCTAACGTGAACAATTTTTAAGTGTTGGAAGTACCTTCAGGCAGAAGACTGAATAATTTGAAAAGCTTTCTCTACCTGATCATGATACAGGATCTCTGGTTTGAAAAAAAGAGTGTTATGTTGTAAATAACTCCATGATTTATCAGAGACATTTGGATCTACAGTATGTCCTTTGTCTAGTTGATGCTCTCTGTGCAGCCTTGCTTGCACAAATGTTTATATACAGAGAATTTGTTTATAATAACCATAAATGAAATACTTTAAGTATTTGGAATGTCTTCACATTTTTTTTCATTGGTTTCTAGTTTCTAAAACGGCAAGAAAAAAATTGTCAAACATTTTGTAAAAAGTAGAAACTTCTAAGTTTTCAAATTATTTTCTGTTTTTATTTGTAGTACTTTAACTTTGTAAGTTAATTCTTTCACTGTAATGTGATAAAGAGAAAGTATTAAAAATTTGCCCTTTGTATATGACATAAAAATTCGTTTAATTAAACTTAGGTGTAAGAGTTAAGGTGCTGGCCTAGAAACCAGAAGATGGTAAATTCTAGGCCTCCCTTAGGCATGAAACAATTTGGGTGACTTTGGGCAAGTTACTTTTTCTCAGCCCAACCCATCTCATAGGGTGGTGGTTTTGTGGAAAATAGGAGGCAGGAGTATTTGATATGTTTGCTGCCTTGAGATGACCCTTAAAAAAAGTACAATCAAACTCTAATAATAAAATAAATGTAAGGTCATTTTGGATAAAAAATTTTTTTTGGATGTAATTAAAGACATGAATGAGAGCATTTTGATTTGAATTTGATATCAATCCAATCCTAATCATATGTATTAGTAGGTATATTTTACTGATTAGGATAAAAAGCCTAACTATATAGAGAATTTCTTGATTATAATAATATTACATCTACAGTACTAAACTATTGTTATTTTCTAAAGTGTATAGTTTACTTGATGATGATTCAGAAACTAGTCCAATAGTATACAATTTGACAATTTATATTAATATAATTATTGCTTAATAACAAATTTTAATACATCCAAATCTTAATAAGATTTTTAATAAAAATCTTAAGATTTAGATCTTAAACTTAATTGTTTAAAAGAGAAAATAGAAGTCCATTATTATATAATATGCACATTGTTAATGTACATTACATTTTACTTTGTTATTTATGTTTTTACCTAGTACCAAAAGGAAAGTACTATAAACCTAGGAGTGAATGAAGTTCCAGATCAGAACAGCCATTCAATAACCACTTGACTTCAAGGCTGCCAAGCGTTGTACCAAGCACTCATTAATCTGGAAAGGAGTAAGAAAGAAGCTAGCTCTTAAACCCCTGAGGGCATAATTGTCATTTTATCTGGCTGTGGATGATTACTGTTGTATATGATTTGCATTCTAGTCTACAATACTGACTCTAATTTAACTGAACCGAGCAGAGAGTCTACTGCCTAGTTAAACTGAATAATCAAGTGAAGTTGTAAAGTAGCAAGAGACCTGGGATTTATTGATGCGTTCTGATTTGTAGTTGCACCTCTCTGGTGAGGACATTCAGAAGTAGGGCAGGTCTCATTAAAGAGACCTGTTCTCAGATAGCCACTCACTGTAGTTCAGCAAAGAAAGGCACCCAAAACATACCTTTGAAAGATGACATTAAATTCTGGTAGGAAAATACAGATTCATTTAGAATGCTAATGCACTAATTTCTTGTGTCAGTTTTTAACATTCCAGAACAGAACTTCCACATATTATTTTTGACAATACATCATGGAAGACTCTAGTTTAAAAACAGTTTTAGCTACACCAGAAGAAACAGAAGAACCATATCCAAAGAAATTTAAAATTGATAGCAATCAAGTGATCTTTGAGAAGGGGCAGCAGCAGTTATTTGAAAAATGCAGTGAAGATAAAAAATCAGCAAACAAATTTCTCTGTTTTCCTAAAATATTATGGAATTTTAGTCAGCATAATTTGGAGTTACGAGAGAAAAGCAGTACAAATTTAAAAACCAATATAAGACAACATGCAAATTTCAAGATGTATATGAATGCCAATTTACAATCCAGATTGTTAGAAAATATTCCTTACATTGAAAAATGGCATCCTAATAGTTGTACCAGGAATGGTAGTTGCAAGTTAAAGAAAAATAATTCAGATTTCATAAAACTTGAATCTTTGGTCTCATATGCAAAAGAAAGTGAAACAGCAACAAAGACTGCTAATATGTCAAAGACAAATGAATGGCCAAGAGGTATAATTTTTTATATTATCTTGGCAGAAAAGTTTATTGCAAGAATAGAATCTTTATTTGGAGATGTGCCAGAATTTCAAAATAAAGAAAAGGACCCAGGTTGTTGTCGTGTGTGTAAAATGTTACGGTCAGAAGAACAACATCTTATTTCAAAACCAGTTAGAAGTGATGAAAATAGTGATGATGAAGTCTTAAAGTTCTGTTTGCCATTTAAGTATTTTATGAATGGAAAAAAGTCAGACTTTGAATCTTTGAACTATGAGTATAACAATATTTTATATAAGAACAGTGATATTCTATCCTACAAAAAACAAAAAAGATTTTCTGGAAAGAAGAATTTCAGAAGAAACAAAATATTTCGGCACACATATACACTTTATTCAAAAAAATGTGGAATAAATCTTAAATTAACAAAAGGTATTGCTTTTGAGCTGTTTTTACAAAGTAAAGGAACATATCGTTATAGTACTGTAACAGAAAATGGTATTCCAGTACTCCAGTACATAAGTCAAATTAATCAACAACAAACAGAAAAATCTAATGAAGAAGACACAAAAGAATGGCTCTTATGTCCTACAGATATTAGGGAAGATGATATATTTTCAATGCTTTGCTATGGAAAAAAACAAACAAGCCAAATAATACTTTCTAATAATCAAAATATCCAAAGTAAAAAATGCAATATTATTTTATGGGAAAGAATATTCCTGAAACAATTCCTGTATATTCCTGAAACAATCTATAATTTGGCAGATAGTTTTAGATTATTAAATTATCTGATTTTAATTCCAATCATACTTAAAAAGTCAAAAGCTAAAGATTTTAAGCTTGAAATAGTTACAGTGGAACCATTTATTCAAAACAAATATAGAAAAAGCAATCAAACCAGTGGTTTTTCTTCTAAAAAATTTAAACATTCTTATTTTGTTTTAAGAGCACATAACAAATGGGAAAAAAGAATATTTAGAAATAGTATTAATTGTACAAATAACAAATATGTCCCAAAATATATAGAAACAGATAGTAAAGAAAGAATGAATAAAACACAATATAATAATCATAAACATAACCAAAATAATTCATGTGATTTTGTTGATAGAAAATCTCATCTTGATACATATACAAAAATTTCCCTCAGTTCTTATTCAGAGGAAATAGAACACATTTCAGTCCTGGGAGAGGTAATAATTACTGATGAAAAATATAGCAAACGATGCATAACTGCTGACAAAGGATTCACTAGAAATCATTCTGAAACGTTAACTTATATTTGTGCGCCACTCAAGTTATGTGCAAATGATAGTTGTCTTTTAAAACAAGAAAGAAAAAGTAAGACATACCAATATTTCAAAGACAGGCAATGGCTAAAACACAAAATTAATGGTAAATTTTTCCCAATTTCCAAAAGACTTTTTAAACATTCCTTACATGTTAATCAATATTTTACTCCCGACATGTTTCATAAACTTTGTCTAACCCAAAATATGGCGATCAGTGTAGAAACAAAGCAGAGTAAAACTTCCCTGTATGGAAAAAGGTGCTTTGGATTTGAAAAAATTAAGAGTGTTTTACAATACCAATATCAAACTACATGGATTTCAAATGTTTTTAAGGCACCCAAAACTAATGCAATGGAAAATAAGAACTTTTTGGGTAGTTACAATATTTTGTTCAGTGGCACAATTATGTCAGAAATACTATGTATAAACCAAACTGCTGAGGATGTAAATAAGACAAAATGTGCCATTGCTGAGAAGAACTATGTAAACAAAAGAAATCAGTCTCAGAATTTATGTGAGCTAGATTTCAAAGAGGAATGTGCAAAGTCTGTTAATTCTGTGGACAAATTAACAGCCTCATGTTCCACAAAACAAAAAGGTTTTGAAGATTCAAGAGAAGGGCATTTTTCTTCAGAAACTAACAGAAGAGATCAATTTAAGTTAGTACTGGAAGAGCTTCATATGTTTAATGAAATTAGTAAGGAAAATGAAAATAGCCTGTCACAAACAGAAGTAAATATTCTTGAGAAAGAATCTCATGTACTAAATTGTTCTGACAACATACCAGATCAAGTTAACAGAAATATTAATCCAGTCATTTCCACAACTGATATTACTATGAGTTGCACTTCTGGGATAAAGCAAAATAGCTACAAAAATAGTTTATTTAAGCAGAACATACAATTTGGAGAGCAGGAGATACCCCACAGTTCAAATCTATCAGGTGAAGAATTGTTCTGTTCATCTTCTGAAAGTAAGTAAATTATTTCCAAATATATGCAAGTCAGATGATTTTATGTAATAGTACTAGGTTTGTACTATAAAAAAGATGCACAGTCTCTTTCAAATCTAAATAATTGTTAAAATATATGTGAAGACATTGGTAGTAGTAGTTTAATTTTGGATTGACAATGGGTGCTATTCTTGATTAGTAACAGAAACATTGGGATATTGAATGATGATAGTAACGTTTTCCACAAAACAACACTATACTGGAAGCATTCTAAATATTAAATTGCAGCTGCATTTAGCTGCATGGTGCTGTTAGATCACATTGGCAGAAAAAGAAAAAAGGGGACCCAGTGCATTTATTTATTTAGCATATGGTTGGTCACACACAGTATTAAAACACTTCATTTTTACAAGTTAAAAACAATTAAAAAATAAAAAAAACAGTAAGAAAACCTAAAAGGAAAACAGAAATAACATTTCAAAGTTTAATGTCGAGTTTGGAGATCCAGTCAGTAGCTGCCGTTGTTATGCAGAGGAAGTCCCTAGAATCTCCTGGATACCTTCTGTTAGGGCATTCCCTCACTATATGCTGGATAGTCTGTCGAGGGGCCCCACAATCACATTGTGCTGAAGGTGTCTTTCCCCATTTATACAGGGAGTCAGCACACACTCCATGAGTTGTTCTAATTCTATTATATGTCACCCATATGTGTCGGGGTAGGCTAAATCCTGGAGGTATACTACTAGGACTGATATGCTCGGAGACATCTTGGGGGGAACAGCTATTCCACGCCTCCATCCACTTTTGTGTGGTGTTCTGATGATCGGCCATCAACTTACGCACTGTCAAGATTGGTGGATTTCTTGACTTTAATCGGCATCTTAAGAGATCAGGAATGTATCCATGTATGGGTAGAGAGGAATTTAACAGGATCTTACTATACTCCCGAATGAGAACTTCTTGTCGTCGTAAGTGCGGGGGGAGTGCAAACCATTAGTATAAGTCATGCTTGGCACATTAATTTGTAGTATGTGATCAGGTTTGGTAAGAGCTAATACATCAACACTTATAGTGGAAAAGATGTAATAAAGCATCAGGGTTTTTTTTTAGTGTACTTACTATATTTTAGATTAAACATATTGAGTATATAATGTATGAAGTCTATATTATATATTTATCAAGTGAGGAAATATTTTACTACATAGTTGCTACATTGTAGACCTAGGGTATAGTATATAGTAAAGTTAAAATTGATGTATTAATAACTATAATGCTTATTGTGAATTTGATTTTCAAATTTAAGAATGTGCTCATCGTAAACAACCTTTCTCTTGGAAACCTGCGTTCGTATCTCAAACATTCATGAAAGAAGGAAGCTGTAATTTAACATCAGAAAGAGGTAAATTATGCCTTATAATAATTTAGCATTTAAAGGTTTTCACTTTTATATATTTATATTTAAATTTAAATTTAATTTATGCAGTAATTTTTTTTTTAATTTATGTGAATTCATGGTTGATTTGTTGGATTCTGAGCTTTGAATTCAAACACTTTAATATGAATATCATTTTAACTCAAACAGCATTTTACTAAAACTAAAAATACCAATGTCTAAAAGATGGTAAAAACACTCTTGAATCAAGTTCAAATCTTGTGACACTTCATATACTGTCCTATTTAGTTTTCTTTTTTAAAACTACATGAATGGTTTGCTGTAACCTTGTGAGATTGTATGAGAAGAGCCATGTTAGTCTATGGCAACAAAAATTCAGGGATTTAGGTAGATTGATTAATTATATTAAAAGGCATAAACTTTTGTGAGTCAAGCTCACTTCATCAGATACAAAGAATGGCTGGACTGATATATAATTTAAACTGTTCTGTAGTTTTACAATGATATCAAAGGATATGTTGTGTAGATAGGTCTAGGCCCGTGATGGTGAACCTACAGCATTCGTACTGGAAGAGGCACGCAGAGCCATCTCTCTGACCATGCAAGCCATCGCCCTTTGCTTTTCCGGGTTCCGGTGTGCAGGCATGCTGGTTTTCATGCCATGCACATGCGTACGCTGGGAAGATGATCTTCTGGTTTCTGGTGTGTGCATGTGCACCGGCCAGATGGTCTTCAAGCGCACATGCGCACCAGAAACTGGAAGACCAGGTGGCTGGTGTGTATGTGCATGCCGGAAACCGGAAGATCATCTTCCCGGCGCACATATGTGCCCAGGGCAGCTGCCCTTCTGGTTTCCGGCACATGCACATGCGTGCCCCCACCCCCACCCCGCTATGGCACTTGGTGCCCAAAAGGTTCACCAACACTGGTCTAGGCTGTGGTTGTTGGGGGTTAGAAGATGTTGAATTCATGATGGAATTTGAAGAGGGATTAATTTTGATGCATTCAGATTATGAAAATGCCATCAGTGAAACACAAGTAAAGGAGAGCCTTTGAGAGCTTTGTTCTAGGTCATTGATGAAGATGTTAGTATATTGAGGAGCCATTTGTATATCCATGGCTTTGCCACTGATTTGCAGGTACATATTATGGCAAAGACTACAAAGTTACAGTCTAGTAACAAAGTGTGCCATTTGGGATTAGTATTTATGTTCTTGTTTGCTTGAAGTCCACATTTTTTTGGGAGGGGAATGTTGATACAGGTCTCGACTGCTATAATAGTTGAAATATTCTTGCTCGGGAGATTGCCCATGGAGTTCATTATTTTTTTAGAAATTTATTGTCTTATAAAAAATAAAATATAAAACAGTAAAACTAATAAACAAAATGAAACAAAACAGAAACATACATTCAACCCTAACAGCTACAACTACTACTACAACAAAAAATAGTGTTCAATTAAATTTAACACTTAACATGTAGGAGACACCCTGGCTGGCTGCCGAAAGAAAAGGAAAATCAATAAATTCTCCTCTCCATGGAGTTCAATTTTCTTAGGAAGTCTGTGATCTTTTATGTAGCTGGGATGACAGATTATATTGTCTATAATCCTGAGGTTTTCTGGTGATTTCTCATTCAGCCCACTAACAAAACTAAAATGTTTATATTTTATTTTCTTCAGAGTAATCAAAGTAGCTAGGTGGTACCATATTCTGTGAATCAAATGAAAAATAAATTTACAAAAATGAAGTTGGAGGAAAATTGAAATTAATATAATTGCCCACCTGAAGCATAATTTTGATAGCTAAATTTTATTACATATACTTACGTGTTCTAGAATACTTTTTTCCATAGTTTCTTTGCTCCTCAAGTTTATGCTAGTGTAATCAGTAGACTTAGTTGTAACCAACAGCTTCCATCTCTCACTAGAACTCCTTCTCTATGCATCTATATATTTTTAAAAGGAAGACAAAATCTAATACAAGTAATATAACGTGAGAAAAAGAAAAGAAATCAAGATAATGATGTAGTATAAATTTCAATACTTTCAACCACATATTTTTCCATTGTTTCATCTGTGTGTTATAAATAAAAAATTTAGCCTACTTTATCACACATACTTTCATTTGTTCTCTTCCAAATGTCAATAAAAGTTTATACTTTTAGTAATTACATGTTCATTATTTGACATAATTCAGTTTTTAAAAACTCTGAAAAAGAAAACCATTGATAACATATCCACAGAGCTCCTGGGGATAGAAAGACCCTCCAGATCATATGCAGAGGACAGGGGGAAAATGCAGGATGAAAAAGACTTTCATTCATTTTGTTCATTCATTCATTTTGTTTGTTACCTTTGTAGCAAAGCAAAAAAACTGATCACATATAATATATAATTTTCATTCAGTATTATTTCTTGTAAAGTAGCCTGTGGCATTGGCAAACCAGGAAAACATTTAAGCTTTTTTCTAGATAATTTTTACCTTCCATACTTCTATTTCTAATCATTCCCTTAAACTTGTTTCGAGTGGGGCTGGATAAATTTTGTCGAAGTGTAAAAACAACTTGAGATATAAATTTCATGGAAAACAAGGAAAAACATTTTAAAATTCTACTTCTCCTTTACCTTAGTTGCACCGATAGTTACAATTTCAGTCCAGTGCAACCAGGATATTTTTCCTAATTTATATACAAATAATCTCCTCTCTCCTTTTTATGTCGTGGAACCAGCTGGATTGATAGTTGAGCCAAATCTGATAATAAAATATAACAATATATAGGGAATAGTGTCTGACATACTATATATAGCTCTAACCTGCTCCCTAGCATACTTTAATGTGGCCTGACATAACCATCTATTTTTTTCCCTAAAGGTAAAATTACCCTTCTTTAATGTTAGTTTTAAGATCAAAAGCAACTGCTGAGGCATAGCTAATCATACCATTAGCTAAAATTTAGATTAAAAAAACCCTGTCACTAAGGAAATAGCATTCTGTATGCTATTAAATCTGAGCAAAGGCATATAGCTGATAACAAAATATTTTTAATACACATAGCACTTAACCATGATGACAACCAGTCTCAGCTGTAGCTTTTTCAGTGGATGAAAAATAGCTGAATCTTTGTGGCTTGATAACAGGAAAAATAGAAAATTTTCTCCTAGGTGTGGGAAAAACATACTGTCTCATTTTATTACCTTGATTATCTCCAATTCCTTTGAAAACATAAGCAGAGTTGGACCTGGGAAGCAACTGAATGGGAGTAATTAAGAAATCCAAACATCAGCCTAGAAGAGGAAAAGTGTTCTTGACTTATGACCACAATTGAGCCTAAAATTTCTGTTGCTAAGTGAGATGTTAATTGAATTTTGCTACCTTTTACAATCTTTCTTGCCACAGTTAAGTGAATCAATGCAGTTAAGTTAGTCACATGGTTGTTAAGTGAATCTGGCTTCCCCATTGACTTTGCTTCTCAGAAGGTTACAAAAGGTGATCACATGACCCTGGGTTACTGCAACCATCATAAATATGAGTCAGTTGCCAAGCGCCTGAATTTTGATCACATGACCCTGGGGATGATGAAATGATTGTATAAAAAACAACCGTAACTCACTTTTTTCAGTGCCATTGTAACTTCGAACTGTCATTAAATGAACTGTAAGTCGAGGACTACCTGTACTCATTTGCATTTTATCAATAAAACTACAAGGAGTTGTCCACAGTCACTTAGAATTGAACATATTATGAGACAATTAGATCACACCAAAACAGAGAAAGCGAATTCTATAGTGCTCATTTTTACTGTTTCTAAAAGATAAAATGTCATTTTTTTGTAAAGGAAGGCATTCCTATATGTCCCTCCATGTTCTAAATAATTTATCTGAAAAACAGTTATTACTGTGCTTGACTGGGAATGAGAATAGTTACTTCTCTTGTTTTATGTATAAGAGTTGAAACATCAATATTTCCTTTGTTATGGTTGTCATTCTAGAAATTTATTTTGGGTTTTACAAGATCACTGTCAAACTTGTTTGATAAGAGATAATGAAAATACACACAGGATATGGTTTCAAGATGTTGTTTTTTTTAAAATATAGGAAACTGTTTACTCAGTGGAATTATAAGGATACAGCCTCTTAAAACATGTTGCGGTCCTTTAAGAGTTGGATTGTCAAGGAAAGCTAAACTCAAGCAGCTTCATCCATATTTAAAATAGTTCACTATTAACAGAATATTAAGCAAATATTATTTTTCATTAAATGTTTAAATTAGTTATCACATTCATAATTAAAATATTTCATTATTATTGTAATATATAAACCACTAGTCTATAAATTTACTGTGATTTTAAAATTAACTGCTGGTAAAAGTATTCTATGAAATATACATATAATACTGTCATGTTATAAAACTGAAATGCATAGAAATCTGAGATACATAAATACGCTTAAGTTATTTTCATTTATTAAAGTACCATATCAAAGTATAAAATAGATGTGGTGTCATATCGTATAGCAGTTTAATAAATACCTACCAATAGTCAAGTTGTACATTCATTTGAAAGCATTATGGAATCTTCTGAGCCATATTTATTTAATGGTACTTTTTTTTATAATATTCTTAAGATTAAAATGGTTTTTCCTCCATGGATATTTCTGTTAAATATTTAGTCTCTTGTACAAGGGTTCATAAAATGATCCATGTAGCAGTACCTAGGATACACAGAGCTAACACATTGCTGAGAAGAGAGAAAGAAGTGTGTATTCATTCTCCACCTCTTTCTTCTGAACTTCTATCAAAGTTAATGGATGACTAACTATTTATGAAATAGTGTCCTAGGCCATCTAACATATTCTATCATGCTCTAAGTCCAAAGTCTTAGACATGGATGGTTTTTATCCATTATACTCACTTCCTCTGATAAGTTGTTTATGTAATTTTCGAAATGTTTCTCTGCCAAACTTGAGTTAATGTTAATGTATTGCTAATAAAGTTCTATGTATGTATATTTCTAAATTATTAGAGCTAATTGATAAAGCTCTTCAGGTTGGATGAAATCTTATTCTGGCATTTATTAACTGAAAGCAAGATTTCATTTTAGCTATATTTTTCAACCATTCTCTTATTTTATAAGAATTAAAACATTTCTATCTTCAACTTTGTTAGTTTTGTGCTTTATTGTAATTTTTTATTATTTACTTTGGGGTTAATGATGTATGACAAAGAAGGCAATGGAACAAAATGTTAACAGCATAGTTTCAATGCCTATATTAAGGACCAAATGTTTAGTTGTGTGGTTCATTTTATTTAAATTATTAAATAAAATTTGTCAGAGGCAACAAATTAAAAAAAACCTCATGTCAACATTTCCATAATATTTCATTCTTTTTACCCTTTCAGCTGTGGCAAATTCCATAAACTTAGTAAATATCTTCTTTCTACCTAGAATTGTCTCCAAAATATTCAACTTTTTTTTATTAATAATCCCATGAATCAGATCTGTAAAATTAGTTCTATGATCTAAAATAAAAAAAATTCAGCTGGACCTAAATAAAAAAATATATATTTAGTATGAATGAGAGAAATAGTTGTTTAGTTAAAATTATTTATCTGTATGTTCTGAAGTAACTCTTATTAAAACTTACTGAGAGTTAAACGATACACATTTAGTTGAAAGAAATAAACTTTATTTGGCTTGCTTCAGGTTTTTCCTTTAACTATAGAAACTTAATAATTATAACCCAATCAAAACATGTAGTTAATAGAAAACTTATGAGTTAAATAAATGCCTGCATTAAACTCTGTAAGATGTTCATGTGATTTCTGAATTACAATCATTCAACATAAAAATGTTAGTGTTCTAAAATAACTTTTGTAAGATTTGAATTAGTTATTACATTAATTTGATATTGGATGAAACTATATACCGAAATAAAGTTGTCAGTATTCATTATAGATATTTGTTGTGAGTCTAGTGTTTAAAATTTTTGAAATGTATTCATTTTATTCAGACAGATTGCCTCACCTCTGAAAATGAGGTCACTAAATAGAGTTGTTTATTATGAAAGTGAAAGTTAAATAAGTATTTTTTTAAAAAAACAGTTCTCTTCATCTTGCCTCCTAAAAAGAAGCATTTTATTAATAGATGCTTAAAATTATATGCTTCCCATATAATCACACATGACCAATGTTAGTTAGAAAATTGGATTAGGCAATATCACTGCCCTGAGTCTCCGGAGAAAGGCGGCATATAAATTGGACTAAATAAATAAATAAATCACACCAGCTGCATTAGACAAATGTGATAGTAGGCTATTTTTGAATTACTGGACCTTGGCAGTACGGTTCTTTTCAATCTGAATAGAATTACCATAACAACATTCTTTTTGAAGCAGAAGAATAAAACTGTCCCTAAAATCCCTGTGCATAGCATTCATATTGTAGCTCATGTTTCCCCATTAAATCTTTTGACAGAAACTTTGAGTATAGATTTAGGGTATCAATAAGAGAAGGGCACATAACATAGAGACTTGTGGAGAATGCCTTTTTTCTCCCATTTCTAATGAGAAAAAAACTTTAGCAAACATGTTCCTTTCAGGAATTCCCAAACTGTCTTGCTGATAACTTTCTTCCTAAGACAATGGAGAAGTAGCAGCTCATATCAAATTGAGCTGCTATCCTCGATTTGATATGAGCCAACGGGAAAGACTTAGTTGAAGAGTGAAGTAGGAATAATAAGGGACGTGACTATGCACGTGAGAAAAAAAGTGGGAAAAAAAAGATGCGAGGGTTATTGATGTTAAATAAAACTGAATCTGAGTACAGTCAACATACTTTTTAAACATGCCTTTTAATGAACTCACAGCAGTGATAACCAGACTTACTTGTTAGATATACTGTATATCCTAGCTTTTCTCCAAGAACGCAAGGTAAGTACTGTATGCAGTATTTCTTCCTCCAATTTTTCCAACAAGAACTCCCTCAGGGCTGAAGATAAAATTGAACCAGATTTTTCCTAGATCAACAGTACTCATTCCAAGCCATGAGCCACTTGTAGGGAAAGGTACACAGGATATTGGGAATTCTTAAATAAGAAGATACATAGGGACAATTACAAACAATTCCATATGGAGGCCAGCTGATTAAGCTACACAAAAAGCTTAATGAAGAATTAGAAATCAAATAACTGAAGATGCATAAAGAAGTTTGAAAGTAGTTCATGTCATCAAAGAAGAATATGGACAGTTTGCCTGGCAACTGTTCAAATGAATACAGATTGGTGAAGTACAATATTCTATATACAGTTAAAAAAAAGCTGCTTTTTGATATGTTAAAGGAAAAGATAAGAATTGGTATAGCATCTTCTCAATCAAGAAGCAAAATGCAAAGAAAAGAATAGGTTTTTTTAGATTCAGATTTCAACAAAGAAGTATGTATTCTAGGAAATGGCAAAGATCAGAATCAATCTTTCGTTCTGAAAAGGTTTCACTCTCCAGAGCCAGCTGAATTGCATTCTAGAGTATTGAATAGACTAAGAAGTGATGGTCTGACCATAGTTTCCAGTTCATAGAAAGTAATAGTTCCACTTTATTCTGCTTTGGTCAGAATTTTTGAATATTTTGCCCAACTCGGCACCACACTTTTAAGAAGGATTCAGACAAACAGATTCAGAGGCGGAGAAATGAGTTAACTTTTATAGGGAAAAACTGAAGACTCAAGAATTATTATTAAATAAAGGAAACAAAATATCAGATAAAGGTTATTTTGGAAGGCTAAATAATATTGCCATTGTGATGTCATTATATGATTTCCACTTTGTGAGTAGAAACATCAGATGTTTATACTGAATATATTAGTCATTTTTGATTAAAGTAAGAACATAATGGGAATTACAGGTAGTTCTTGCTTTAAAAACACCCAGTTTAGAGACTGAAGTTATGATAGTCCTGGAAAAGTAATTTTAGGACTGGTCTTTGCACTTGCCACTGTTGCAGGGTCCTGAAGTACATGATTGAGATTTGGGTGCATTGTAACTGAGAGGTGTTTACAACCATCACAGCATCCTGCAATCACATTATCACCATTTGCACACTTGATAGTTAGCTTCAGACAAGTAGAGTCACCAGAGAAGCGACTAGTAAAATTGCAAGTTGTAGTCATGTGATGTCTCACTTAATGAATTGGGCTAATTCATTTAATGAATACAGTGGAAATTAGGTAAGTCCATTGCTATCATGTGATGTCTTGCTTAATTACTATATTGCTTAGCAAAGGACACGCCAATCCCAGTTGTGGTAGTTAAACAAAGACTACCTGTAGTCAAAAAATTGTTTAAGGGGAGGGCTCCATTTGTGTGCAAATGCATTGTTCTGGCTGTTTCCATTCTGGAATAATAAATGTTCAATAACTATTTTGGTACAGATGCAGTAAATTGATCAATAATCCTTCACACACCAGCATGGAAAAGAGCATAGATCTAGTATCGGCATTTTGAAGTATTCATTTTCTTACATTGATTCATTTTTGTGGCATCAAATTTGAGATGACCATGTAATGGGATTCGTTTGCTTCCTACTGAAGCTAGAAATGTAATGTGACATTATTCTGAAATCAACAAAAAAAAATCATTTTGGATTAGTCTAAAGCACTCAGCTGTTTCATTTTCTTAGCCCAAATTGCCAAAGCACTTTTACTATCTGTACTATAGAACTACACTTTTACTCACACATATCATATGCTTCATGGTGCTTGCCATTCTTTTTCAATCTACTAGAACAGGGCTGTCAAATGCTCAGTCTGCAGGCCGGATGCGTCACGCTCTGGCCATGCCCACGCCTGGTTTAGCGGAGGGGAAAAAAGTCCCGATGCGTCACATGATGACGACGTGATGACATGAGTTTGACACCCCTGTACTAGAAGCTGCTACCTCTTAGTTTATCTCCCAATGAGGAGCTGCCTCATGAGAACAAGGTTTTCACCCCAGAGTGATTATAACTTGGATAATAAAGATGCCTTAAACCAACCTTGAAATGGAACATTATCTATAGTTGATATCCCTGCTAATACTGCACTCCCTATAGCTAAAACTGAGTTTTTTTTATGTTTCCTGGGAATGGTGGAGTCAGGTGATTCAACATTTCAGGCTTAGTACAACTCAGCCATATATGTTTTGGGCCTTGCAGATTCAACTATCACACATTGTTTAGTAAAATAAAGTGAAGCCATTCGAAGGTTAATTTTAAATGATTTTTTTTCTCCAAGTCAGGTCAATCAACATGATAGCTTTTTAAACACCCACCTACAGAGGCTATTTGAGATTTGGAACATGGCAATGATATTCTACAGTTCACAGGGCCTTATTCTCTCCATTCTGTTAAAACTGCTTTTTCTTTAAAACAAAAGCAAATCACATTTTTTCCCTCTTCCTTTTTGCTTCCTAGCTCCAATAAGATAGAAACAGAACTTTGGTCAAATCCAAAATAAATCTCCAAGCTGTCACTTTTATGCTTTATAATTGTTTGATTGATTTTAGTTTTGATAGAGCCAACAAATGTGCAACATCATAGTGTATTGTTAAAATGTTAGGGTAACAAGTGATTTGGTTTTGGTTATTCCAGTTCTTTTTATTTATGTGATTGTTTAGAAGTTAAGATCGTTGAAATTCTTGTGCACTACCCACAGTCAGAAGACTGAGGTAATCTAAAACTTCTAAAGCTAAATATAGAATATTATGATAAGGGGTAGAGAAACCTTGTTGTAACTTTGATTTTAGAGTACATTTTGGCTTGCCTTCTTATGTACAAAAAATGCATACCTGAAGATCTTAGTTTCATATGGAAGGATATACTTGACCTATAACACTCATATCAACATAAATTAAAGGTAATAATGCTTATATTTTAAAACACTTGATTTTAAATACTGTTTTAAAGGTAATTGTATTTCATATTTATGTATACAATTTTGTATGAATATGCCTAAGAATATTTACAATAACACAAGATGCTTATGTCCCATCACATATGCAAATGATTAAACAGAATTTTCAAAATGTTATGAATAATTCAATTATGTAAAGTAAGTGTTTTTATAAACCCCAGAGATATATTAACTTTCCTGATTTGTCATCTCAAACAAAAAATACTTTATTCATATTA